ATTGACCCCCGCCCACATGACATCACTAACATCTCCCCACTGACTATGGGAGATAGAATCATATCCCCATTTCACAGCTATGAGAACTGAGGCTGGAGGCACTGAATTTAGGCTGGACGCACTCAGCATCGCAGAGCTAGGAAACAGCAGTGCTGGGGTTTAAACCAAGGGTCCTTACTAGCAAAATCCACCACATTCTTAACCCTGCAACCACATGGCTGTCTTAGAAGCCATGCAGCCCAGTTCTTTATCAGTTTTTTTTTTGTTGTTTTTTTTTTTGGCTGCACTGGGTCTTCCTTGCGGCATGTGGGCTTTCTCTAATTGTAACACTAGGGCTTCTCGTTGTGGTGAGAGAGCTTTTCTTGTGGAGCACGAGCTCTAGAGAATGTGGGCTCAGTCGCTGTGGCTTGCTGGCTTATCTGATGAAGCACACAGGCTTAGTGGTCCCACAGTATGTGGGGTCTTAGTTCCCCAACCAGGGACTCAACCCATGTCCCCTGCATTAGAAAATGGATTCTTAACCACTGAGCCACCCAGGAAGTACCTGCCCCACCCCACCCCCATCAGATTTTGAAAATTTCTTTATAGCCCCTGCCACATGGCTGGCCAGTCTCTGCATACCCTCAGCAACTGAGAGCTCTTTACCTACCTGCCCTGCAAAGGAGAAGTTTAGGGGGAAGGGTTCTAGTCCCTATGTAAGCCTCTGCCTCCTCCTTCCTGGCCTCAGCCATCCTGGGACTGCCCTGTCCTGGGACTTTTCTCCAGAAGCAGCTTTTTTTCTCCTTGTCCAGCCCCTCAAGAGACAGATCATACTTGAGGCTTCCCTGGTGGCTCAAATGGTAAAGTGTCTTCCTACAGTGAGGGAGACCCGGCTTCAATCCCTGGGTTGGGAAGATCTGGAGAAGGAAATGGCAACCCACTCCAGTACTCTTGCCTGGAAAATCCCATGGATGGAGGAGCCTGGTAGGCTACAGTCCACGGGGTCTCAAAGAGTCAGACATGACTGAGCGACTTCATTTCAGTCCCTCAAGCTCAGTGGGTTGGGTGGGGAGGGTGATATCTTTATAGTAGATTCTCTCTTTCATCATGTCCTGTTCATCTGAAAAGGAGGCAAGACTATCACGGGGAGGGTGGGGAGTGATTTGTAAAAATGTAAACTGTACATCCTCTCTGACTCAGCTCTCTCTCCTTGCACACGTGCCCAAAGATGGGTGCAAGAAGCAGCTCAGAGCAGCAAAGTCTGTGAGCTTGGTAACATCCTAAGTATCCACAGATAGGGGACTGATGATAACATCAGAATGTGTCCCGCCAATGGAGGATACCACAGCGCTTTAAAAGACTGGGAATATCGTGTCCTCCCAAGAGACATGAGAACAAATGCCCACACAAAGACTTGGGTGTAAACATTTATAGCAATGTTATTCCCAATAGCCCCAAATTGGAAACATTCCGACTGTCCATCAGCTGGTAAATAAGCAAAATGTCTATACAATGTCTTTACAAAGCAAAATATCTATACAATGGAAGAGTAGCCAATAAAAAAAAAGACGATATACTCTCCAGTATGGATGAACCTCCAGTTATGCTAAGAAAAAAAAGTCAGATGCAAAAGACAATGTATTATAGGGACTTCCCTGGCAGCCCAGCAGTTAGGACTCTGTGCTTCCAATGCAGGGTCTCGGGTTTGATCCCTGGTGGGAGAACTAAAGATCCCACGTGCAGCCAAAAGAAAAAAGAAGAAAAAAATCAAGCAGGAAAAAGAAAGAAAAGAAAGCAATGAGAAGGAGAGAGGCCAGAGGCTGCATGCACTCCATCCTCCAACACCTCCTTTTACAGTTATCAGGCCCAGGGATTTAGGAATTGGCATCTGTAAGCAGTAAGTTGGAAGTGTCTATACTCAGGGTTTATGGAGTGATCTAGTCCAGTTCCTTTGCTCTGTCAGTGGAGAAACTGAGGCCCAGGGAGGGTCTGGGTCCCTCTCAATGCCAGAGCTCACTGGGCCCGGGCCCCGGGCTGAAGTCCAGGCTTCGGAGGGAGCTTCCAGCTCTGCCCCCGCACTGCACTCTGCGTACAAATTGCTTCATGGCTTCGGGAAAGAGGAGTTTATAAATTTGGCCACATTTTGGAACAACAGAACCATAAATGGACATGCCCGCGGGAAGCTGGGAGATACCTGACCTTTGAGGCTGGGAGCCGGGAGCGGGCGGACCCAGCCATGGCCCAGATTCTTGCATTCAGGGGAAAATAAAACTGGAAAGAAAGGAGCTCGTCCGGAAGAGGCTGCCGATACAAAGTGGAGGACCTGGTTCAAAATGCCCCTTTTGCAAAAAAAAAAAAAAAAAGTCCCTTTTGCTCCTGTCTGGTAGTGGAGGACCTGGTTCAAAATGCCCCTTTTGCAAAAAAAAAAAAAAAAAAAGTCCCTTTTGCTCCTGTCTGGCTGGGTGACCTTAGGCAAATGCCTTTACCTCTCTGAGCCTTACTAGTCACCACACCCCATGAATGATGAGACCACCACGGAAAAGTGAAAATTTGAGGGACCAGGCCCTAACTCTGACTTACAGAGAATCAGACTCTTCCAGGATGGGGCCACTATATTTTCTGGAAGTATCCTGAGGTTGTCTGCATTGATAGAGAACTGCAGTTCAGAAGCCGATGACATCTAGGCTCTTAAAACAGACTCCCCAAAGTGATTATTTTTAGAGGTATTCCCTGGTGGTACAGTGGTTAGGACTCCACGCTCTCACGGCTGAGGGTTCTGATTCAATCCCTGGTCAGGGAACTAAGATCTCAAAAGCCATGCACCAAGAAAAAAAAACAGATTATTTTTATTAGATTCTGTTGTCTATGGATGAAAAGTCAGACTACTTAGCACGGCATTCAAGGCCTCCACAGCCACAGAAGAGCTTTGTCTCTCACCGCAGCCACGCACATCCCTCTCTTTATTGTTGAAACAAGGTGGAATGTCCTCCCCTGCTGCCCTAGGTGAAATCCAGGTCCCAGCCTTTCTGGGCTTCCAAAGTGGGAATAAATTAAATCCCACACTCCACAGTGCTCTTCCTTTTCCAAACACATTCACTATCAGCTCCCAAACCTCTGCACTTCCTTCCAGTGAGACACCCGCCTCCACCCCACCTGGCTTTCCTTCTGACGGCAAGCCCACCTCGCGTGCCCTGTTCCGTGAGGTTTTCTGCACCCCTTGACTGAATCACTGTTCACTCAGGGCTCTCCTCTCCAAGTGGACAAATGCATTTGTTGTTCTTGTTTAGCCACTCAGTCATGTCCGACTCTTTGCAATCCCATGGATTGTATTCCATCAGGCCCCTCTGTCCATAGGATTTCCCAGGCAAGAATACTGGAACAGGCATTGCCTTCTCCAGGGCATCTTCCCAACCTGGAGATGGAACACATGTCTCCTGCTTGGCAGGCAGATTCTTTTACCACTGAGCCACCAGGGAAGCTCCTCAACAAATGAAAGAATGAGTGGAATTCCTGATCAATTTGCCTCCCAGCCCTGGAACACGATTTATACTCAATAATGTTAGTTGAAATACAGTAAAATCTGGCTTCTCTCAGCCAACTCTGATGTGAATGCAACAACCACTGAAAAGCATTCAGTCGATTAGCACACATTAATTGAGTGCCTACTATGTGCCTGGCATGTGTAAACGAGCCAGAGCATTCTGAATGGGGTTCACTGTGATGGGTGCTATGAGAGAGCACCGTTAAGAGATGCCATTTCATAGACAGTGGCCAGGAAGCCCCTTGGAGGAGGTGGCATTACAGGTGATAGGTGGAGAGACAGGGCCAGCCTGCAGAGTCCAAGAGGGGTTGACCTGATTTGCATTTGAGAACTCTCTGGATTCTAGGTGGTAAGTGGAGATGGGGTGGAGACAGTGGCCAGAGCCAAGTGATGATATTAACAGCAGTGTGGAGAGGCGGGACCCAGCCACACGAAGACAGATGCCACCAGGGGCCTTCTGCCTGGGTGGGACAGCTCACCTTCTGAAACTTAGATTCTCTGATTATGTCTTGTTTGTGTTTTAAAAGCACACACCCATACACACACCAATAAAGAAAACAAAACCCCTCAGCACCTCTGAAGTTGGCTAAAGCCCATAGGAGGGTCTGTTAGTTCTCTTAAAAATGTTTCTTTTTTTCCCTCACTGAATCTTCAGGGCTGTGTTTTCCAGCAGCTGGCACACACCCAAAGGGACAAGCCAGCTGGGACAAACAGGCTTCCGTCCCCCTGTCATTGTCCTCTGGATCACAGCTCGTGGCTGCTAAGAGGGTCATTTCCTGCAGCCTCAGCAGGGCCAGGCCTTCCCACGGATGCAGCCCGGTCAGCTGCATTTCCCGAGAGGACACTGCTCTGGGGGAGAGGGTGCGGCAGGCAAAAGACAGCCCCGGAGGTCAAGCAAGTAGCGCTGGCCCAACAGTTCATTATTAAGTCCGTCCTTACTCAAGGTTTAGCCAAACAATGTGGTGCGGTTCCCAGGCTAACCCGTAAGAAGAGCCTAAATTGTTGATATTGGAGTCATCTCTCTAGATACGATAAGAGAGACCCGGCTCACCAGAGGGCCTGGGCCAGCTGATTTCAAGACTCACCAAATTCAGGCCCTGTGACCCACAAACAATCTTCTGAGGTGACAGGAAAGCCCCTCCCTCACTGCAGACCAAGCAGTGGGCGCTGACTCTGGGACAGGGGACTCCAGACATGGGGCCCTGTGAACCCCATGACCATCCAAACCACACGTACACCTAGATTCTGAGTTTCTATGTTCGACTCCCCTTGGATAATCTGGTTTCCTTGTTTAAAAAAATATTTTTAATTATTTTGTTTATTTGGCCACACTAGGGTCTTAGTTGCCACATCCGAGATCTTCAGTCTTCATTGAAAATGCAGCACGTGGTATCTTTAGTTGTGATATGAGAACTCTTACTTGTGGTTTGTGGGATCTAGTTCCCTGAGGAGGGATGGAATCCCAGCACTCTGCATTGGGAGCACAGAGTCTCAGCCACTGGACCAGGGAAGTGTCTGACAATCTGGTTTCTTAAACTGGTGCTCTACCCCCAGGGAGAGTGAGGAGGCTGCCAAGGAGGTGTCTGGGCCATGCCCATTAAATTGTTCCCCCAAACCCGTGAATCTTGTATAAGGATCATGATACAAGCCACTCTTTATCTTAAGCCATCTCCCTCTTAAGCCACTCTCCCTTGCTCATTACCTCTAGTCACACAGGCTCACTTTGGCTTCCTGCTTCCTGCTTCAAGGCCTTTGCCCATGCAGTGTCCTCTGCCTGGATCACCAAAGTGCCCAAGGCACCTAAACTCTCTCCTTCTTAGAGCTAACTAGCAATAGTCATTTGTGCAGTGATTTGTGTGAAACCGTCTTCCTCCCAGGACCACGGAAGACAGCCCATCACCCACGTCACGTGGCCTCCCAGGTCGCCTTGAGACGGAAGGAGAAACAGAAGAGTATCTAGAAGGTTTCAGTGGCCTAAGTCTGTAAGAAATGCGTGTCCCTTCTGCTCACATTTCATTGGCTGGAATTAGTCACATGACCCTCCTAACCGCAAGGGAGGCTGGGAGATGTGGTCTCACTGTGTATAGAAGAGGAAGACGCGGATGTTCAGGCAGACCAGGTGCGTGTGTGGCAGTGGGTATGAGAAAAAAGTGGTGACGGGGGCCTGGACAGGCAGAAGCCCCCATTATTGCACTGTACACACCCTCCACGCCCTCACACAGGGAGGGGGAGGCAGGCCTCCTGGGCCTGTGTCTGTCTTTTCCTGTGAGTGTAAAACCAATTACTGTTCAGACCCCAGAGCAGACACCACCCATATCCCCCGACAGTCACAGGATTCAACAAAGGCTGCTTTTGGGGAAGGGCATTGTTCTGGACCCAGGAGCGTTTTGGAGGTCTACACACAGGCAAGCCGGAAGTGCGCTGAGAGTTGGCTCCTACCCCTCTCACTCACCCCACCCTCCACCCCCACGCCTCAGACCTCAGTCAGCAAAGGATGGGTATCTCAGCTCCCTCGCCCCTGCGCTGGGCTAAGTGAGGCTCCTCTACCCTGTGAGTTCCTGACCTCTGGTTTCCCATCACAGCAACTGCCTGGATAATGTTCTCTTTACTGGCTACCTTCTGTCCTTCCCCTACAAAGATGCCCTGGAACTACCTCCAAGATGGGTTACTTGCTCTTAAATGCTTGTCCCAGAGTCCATTTGTGGGAGAACGCACACCAAGGCTGCTCTCCAGGGCAGGGCCAGTGACCCGTGCTCTTCTCCCCACCGCGCCCAGCCTTGCACTTCATGGTGCCGGTCTTCTTTTTTTTATTACTTTTAGAAACACACAAAACACATCAGCGGGTTGCTCCACTTGGCCAGGGCTGCTGCAGATTCACCAAGGAGGAGGCTTCACACACTTGCAAATAAGCCTCAGAGGATTTATCTGCTCATCCTGTTTCGTTCCCACACACAGGAAATCCTGGAGAGGCAGAGCTTCCTGACCCCAGGGGAGCTCGCAGCACTGGGTCAAGGCTCTGCTCCTCTTGTGAGGAAATTTTTGAGTGGTTTGAAGGAATCAGCATTGCCTTCCTCATTGCCCGAAGAAAGGGAAAATACACAGTCCTGGGTTCTAGTCCTCACTCTGCCCCTAGTTTACTGAGCTGTTCCTTTTCTTCCCCCGGGCCTTAGATTCTATGTAGTCTAGAGGCAGAATAATCGTGCTTCAGCATAGCTTAGAACTGCTGCATCTCCTCAGAACTCAGGCCTGGCACATTATTTCATTTCTAAAAACTTTTACGGGGTTCAGAAAGTCAAAACAGACAAGTATTTTGGAAACCAGTATTAGCAACAAATAAGAAAAGTTAGAGTGATTTGCCCTGTAGATGGAATTTTCCATGGGAAGTAATTTTAAATATATGCTTCCTTAATAAATTGACACTCCACTAGAAAGTGTTCTCTTTTCTTTTTTCCAGGCTTGCTGCAATCTCTACATTGCAGCTCAAGTTTGAATCCTGTTGCTTTCCAGCTTGAAACTCATCTTTGCATACATGGTGACTCTTGCAGGGCTTTGTATGTAGCAGATGATTGATTATGGAATTGAATTTGATTTCCAAGCTATGGCCTGGGAACGTGCCCTGGAAAAGTTTGTTAGGGGGATTTCCCTGGTGGCCCGATGGTTAAGAGTCTATCCTTCCCCATAGGGGGCACGGGTTTGATCTCTTTTCAGGGAACTAAGAAAAGATCCCATATGCATGTGGTGCAGCCACAAAATAAGGAGGGGGAAAGCTTGTTATTACATATGAAAAGTAAAAGTTAAAAGGCCATGAGTGAAGATGCAGAAAGCTTGCCTAAGAGTAAACTTGGTGTAGACACTGTGATGCTGGTTTTGGTGCTCAGATATCCTTTTTGGTCCATTTCAGATTCTAGATAATGAAGTCATTGAATAAAGTTACTCCCATGAAGTGAGATGCTATTGGGCATGCACATTCTATCAGTTAGAGATGCATTAAACTGCAAGTTGTAGGACACAGTGGCTCAAACTACAAAAGTATTTATTGTTTGTGCTCAGTCACTAAGTCACATCCGACTCTTTGGGGCTCCATGGACTGTAGCCCGCCAAGGCTTCTCTACCCATAGTTTGTTCCAGGCAAGAATACTGGAGTGGGTTGCCATTTCCTACTCTAATATTTATTGTTTTCTTGTCTACAAATCTGGATGCAGGAGACCACAGAGTTGTTCCAGCAGCTTAATGATGTCATAAAAGACATGGATTCTTCCTACTTTTTCACTCCTTCATCGTTATATTTGAGAACCTCATCGTCCCAGGATGGCTATCACTTCTGTAACCATCAGCCTTGTAACCATTCCCCTGAGTTCTTCTCTTCCTTCCGATTCTTTTATCAGGGAAGCTTCCTAGAAGCATCTCGGCACGTTTTCTCTTGCGTCAGAACTAGGTCACATGACCATCTGCATTAGTAATCCACTGCTGTAAAACAAATTACCCAAAACCTAGCTGCTGCAGTAAACATCTACCATCTCTAGAAGTTTCTGTGAGTCAAGTGTCCAGGAATGGCTTCATGGGGTGGTTCTAGATAAGGATCTCTCAGGAGTGGTCTGTGCCTGACTCAGTTTTTAAAGGTAACTGGCTGCCAACATGGGGAGTAAATGCCACTGAAAGAACAGTTGAGTGTTACCTACAGAGCCCCTAGAAACAGAAGGTGGAGGTGCCGTGAGGGGCCCCGGGGGAAGCACCCGTGTCAGGCAGGAGGCAGAAAGGGAAGAGAAGCTCACGGGCACGGCCTTTACTGGGGTTTCTGTGCAGAGGGCAAAGCAGGGCAGAGTAAACAGCTCGCGACCGGCCAGCTTGAGTAATTCCAGTGGGCTTTGGGGGCGTAGCGACTGCCCCTCATTGTCCAGTGCCTGGCCCTCCCTGGGTTGACTTACAGCAGGGGAAATATTGGTTTGGTGTGTGACAGTTAGATAAGGAGGTAGTTGTGGGTATGGACTCAAAGTTGGTTGGTTTGTGCATGAAAAGTAGGCTCACTGACAAGCTGTTTACTGTTCTAGGAATGAGCTGGACTTGGGAGGGGCAGTCTCTTCCCAGACTCCAAAGTTCCCAAAGATATTAAAACATCATAAAGCATAAAAATTAAAACTATGATTAATACAAGTATCTCCCTGGCTCATGATGCAGTCAAAATATTGGCCCACACTGTAATCACTTGAAGGCTTGACTGGGGCTGGAGCCACTCACCCATGAGCCTGGCATGTTGATGCTGGCTATTGGCGGGAGGACTTAGTTCTTCCCACATGGGCCTCTCCACGGGGCTGTTGAGTGTTCTCACAACATGGCAGCTAACTCCCCCCAGAGTGAGTCATCAAAGAGAGCAGGGCAACAATGGTTTTTGTGACCTAGCCTTGGAAGTCACTCTTTGAAATGAGTCAGGAAGTCCAGCCTATATTCAAGGAGAGGGAGTGAACTTCTTCTTTTTGAAAAGGAAGGTGTCAAGAAACTTGCAGTCACCAGATCATCCTTGACTGCAGGGGAATTTGGGAAAGCAAAGGAGACCAGAGTTGTCAGGACTAGCTTATACACATATGATTCACCACCTGGGACACAATGCCGCTCCAGACAAAATCAGGGCTCAGTTAATGAGGAAGGAGAAGGAAGGCTGATGGGAAGATGATTGAGAGTGTCAGCCACAGTCATGATGTTAAGGATGGAAGAAAATAGAGCTGCCAGATAACTCTTGGTCTCAGTATGCATGAGACAGGGAATTCCCTTGAATAGGACTCCCTGCTGTCACTGCCAAGGGTTGCAAGTTCAATCCCTAGTTGGGGAACTAAGCTTACACAAGTCATGCAGTATGGCAAAAAAAAAAAAAAAATCACATGGGATGTATTTGTATGAAAACACTATTTTTTGTATGTCTGAAAGTCAGACTTAACTGAGTGTTTTCTATTTTCATTTGCTAAAATTCTAGCACCTCCTCTGTGGGAAGTAAGTCTTCAATAGTCATGAAAGGAGGCCAATGAGAGTATTTCTTGGGCAAAAGGAGACTGGGATTGTCTAGGGAGAGGAACAGCCTTTCAAAGCCTGGATGAGGTTTTATTGGGGAGGCAGGTGGGGGAGGTTGAGGTCTCCTGTGTCCCAGTCACTCTTCTCTGTTCCCACCACCACCACCACCATCACCTCCACTCTAATCTCAAACACACCCAGGAAGTTTCTAGCCAGAAACACCTGTCTTCTCAACACCCTGAAAAGCCAACTCACAAAACCAAAGTTGGGGGTTGAGGGCAGTGCTGCAAAATGCGTGTAAAGGGTGTAGGAACATGGAAACTTGCTGTGTGACATCAGGGAAGGCCCTGCCCTCTCTGGGCCTCCCTTACCTTGGCTGTATAATGAAGGGTTGGTCTGAATGGTCTCCAAGGGCCCTTTCACTTGGCCTACGTGTCTCCCTCCCAAAAGGAAAAACTAGGGGAACAAAAAGACATGGGTGGTTTCTCTGGTCCCATCTCCAAGCCAAATTCAGACAAAAATGTCCGGAGTGACACAGATTTAATATAAACAGTGATGCATTAATACTTACAAATACCCCAAAAGGAGTCCCAGATGGGCTATTTTTATCCCTTAAAACACACACACACTCTCCAACCCCCATCACCCCCACCCATGAGAGTTCCTCCAGTTGGTTTTTATAGGAAGACAAGAGTTCCAGTTACGAGTGCTAATTAAACAGCTCTGACTGTGGGCAGGAGGAGGCTGGCAAAAACCTCCTCTCTGGGCATGATGTCACCGCAACTGTGCATTTCTCATGACCCAAGAATGTGAGTGTGTTTGCACTGCACGTTGAAGCTGGTGATGCAAGTGCGGCCTGGTAAACAGGCCCCAGACAGGCAGGCCCTGCAAGGAGACGTGGTGCAGAGGCCTGGCCGAGGCCCAGGTGGGGCTTAACTCCTTCCTGGCAGAACTGGCTGCTGGGCCGTGGAGGCTGAGCCAAGGAACCTTCTCTCCTCCATCCTCGCTTCTCTCCCAGGCAGGGTCCCTGGCGGTGGCAAGCTCTAAATTTAGAGTCACTGAGACCTGCATTCCCACCCACCATTTGTTTGCTCCAAGAACTTGGGTATGTGATTCCTCTGCCCTGTGTCTCAGTTTTCTCATCTGTATAATGGGGAGAGGAATCAGGTCCTTAACACCTACCTTCCACACCATAGTCCAGAACACCTAGACAACCAAGAGCTTTTCTGTAGACTCCAAGAAAACTCATTTGGAGGCAAAATCTGACCCAAATGGACTGAAGCTGTGTAGAACTTTCAGTTGTCAATGCTCACACTTCTCACTACAGCAATATCTGTATGTTTGATTGGAATGAGTGGGCCCAGACCCCACCCAATCACCATTTAAGATCCCCCAAAATTCTGAATTCTGAAACCCATCCAGACCCAAGAGTATTGATCTAGCATTGTGGGCCTGGGCCACCAGGCTCTGGTTCTTTAAGAGACTTACCGAGAGATTGCCTTCTGCTGGAAAGTCAGTCCTGAAGGACAGGGCTTAGCTCTCACCCCACTGTGCCCCCAAGCAGCCAGCTCAGTGCCTGGCACACAGCAAGCACCCAACTGATATTTGTTGAATCAATAGCTGAAGTTATTCAGACTCCATAAATGCCATGGTGGTGACGATGGGGAAACTGAGGCCAGAGCCTCTGAGTTGGCCTGCCCTGGATCCTTTCCCACAGAGGGAGTTATGGCTTTCCCCAAAAATGGTAGCTGCTCCTATTTCTTGGCTGGCCAGCTCACAAACAGCTTGATGACCCCCTCCAACATTCCAGGGCAGCCTCCTCCCTGGCTGGCTGGTTTGTGGGCATCAATAAGTTTTCTTTGGCCAAAGTTTCAGCTGATTTTTTTTTTCAAATGGGGGGTCCATGTGGAAAGCTGGGGGTGGGGAAGGGATGATCATGGGGTTTCTTGGGAAGATGGGATCTGGGGGGCAACCTGAGACTGTGGACGAGACCCCCAGACCTGAGTTCTGAGGACTGTGAATGTATTATTTTTAGCCCTAGGGCTGGAGAATTATCCAGACCCATGTGGAGCTGCCAGAATGGAAAAGGCCTCTGCAATGTGGTCTGACCCACCCTCAACTGCTGTGGGGCCCCGAGTAACTCTCTTTCCCTTTCTGGGCCTTAGCGTGAGGGCGATGAAGAATCCACCACAGTGGATCTAAGCTGATGTTGTAGACACAGACTTGAGTCCATGCTCAGGCTCTTCCCCTCACTGGGCAGGAAGTTAGGGTGAGTCATTTTCCCTCTCTGAGCCTCAGTTACCCCGTCTGTAAAATTAGTTCATTTCATCCTCCCAACCTCTTTCGGATGGCTGCTAGCACTGCCCCCATATTTCAGAGGAGGAGACTGAGGTTCAGAGAGGTGAAGTGACTCCCACAAGGCTGCAGAGCTGGTTGGGGAGCAGAGCTGGGATCTGTCAGACTCTTCAGCATTTCATATCATGGCCTCAGGAAAGATCCAGCAGAAAATTCCACACTCCATTCCCTGAAGCACTGAATTATAGCGATGTTGTTCTGATGAACGAGTCTGGTACACAGCAATGATAAAGGAATGTTAGGGACTATTACCCTTGGCCTGGATGAGCCTCCTGATCTGATATGCCATGTTAGGCACTTAGAACAATAATCACCTCATTGTCTGAGCACCCACCACGTTCCAGGCTATGTGCTTCGCGAGCATTCATTCATTTCAGCCTCCCAGCCTCTCTCAGATGGGTACGAGCACGCGTGCATGCTAAGTCACACTGCCCCCGTGTTTCAGAGGAGGAGACTGAAGCGCAGAGAGGTGAAGTGACTCCCACAAGGCCGCACAGCTGGTGGCTAGCAGAGCTGGGATCTCTGTCAGGCTCTTCAGTACCTCAGACCATGGCTTGGGGAAAGATCTAGCAGACAATTCCATACCCCATTCCTTGAAGCAAAAGATTTCAGGCGCAGCCGGGCCGCCCCCTGATGTGCTGGGGCTGTAGTTCCCCCAGTGGAACTATGAGGAAGGGCCTCCCTGCCCTGCCTCCCCTGCAGGGCTGAGATGAAACGGTGATCTTGAAAAGGACTTTGTAGGCTCTGAGAAGGGACGTGCATGCTGTGTGTGCTTACTCAGTCGTGTCTGACTCTTTGTGACCCCATGGACTAAAGCCCGCCAGACTCCTCTGTCCATGGGATTCTCCAGGCAAGAATACTGGAGTGGGTTGCCATGCCTTCCTCCAGGGGAACTTCCCAGCCCAGGGATTGAACCTGCATCTCTTATGTCTCCTGCATTGGCAGGTGGGTTCTTTACCACTAGCACCACTTGGAATGCTGAGATGGGATAGGCATTCTCAACATCTCAGTCAGGGGGAGGCAAGGGAAAAACATTAATCCTCCCCCTGCCACCCTGGCAGGTGTCAGACCACCTCTGGTCACAGAGGGGCTGAGCTGGGAAGGCAGGGGAGGAACAGCTGCCTCTGGACTGGAAAGGCACTGGATTGAGGAGACTACTCGGGAGCCAGGGACAGAGGGAGAAGTGGTCCCAGCCCTTCCCC